GGGAGGTTTATGTAACTTAATGTTTTTTATTTCTCAACTCAGCTCAGCAGTGGGTGTTCAACATGCTGTCAGCCAACGATCAGGTTGTACAAAATTGAGTCGAAACCAGTGGATTTCTGTAATAATGCATCTTAAAAATGTAAAACTTCACTGCATGCATTTGAAATTGGTCATCAAAGATGTTACATTAGTCTCTGAGCTAATGTTTGCAAAGGCACAGGTATGAACCTTCAGATCTAAAAATAGAAGCCAAAATTTGCTGCGTCCTGTACATTTAACTGTCACCGACCCCGACGTATTCAGTAAAGCGAACTGATAACAGGGTGATTGAACCGTCAGCTATCATACGGCTCATCTGTCACAGACTACAGCTGAAGTCCAATGTCAATCACTTCCACAGGCCTGTACTTTGGCCAATCTCCATAACGATAAGAGGGCGCCGGCCAGCGTATCAGCCCTCGAGTGATAAGGGTTGACTCGAGTGTTTACACTGCGGGCACGGTCCAGGCTGAGCTCATCGAGTGAACTCTTCAAACAAATGGACGGGCAGAGCGGGCGGGACAGCCCAATCAGCCCATATTCCTACTCTAAGACCACCATTATGGCCTCTGGGGCCCTTCTTCTTACAGGCCTGTCAGCACTCAGACCACAGGATGGGTGGATTAAACATTAACCTGTGGTCTGCTCTCCCTCACAAACACACTCAATCATCACACAAACTCTTGGATAGAGCTGGATTTCATGTTGTCAGGGATCAAAGTTGCATGGATTACTTTGAGTTTTTGCATGAGGAAGGTAGGGCGGGAGTGTTGTTTCCTGGGTTATTATTGGGTTTTTAGATATTATTAACCATACTTGATAACATTCTTTTATAGATTGGCAGCAACACTAGTTTTATTATTACACAACAGACAAGTAGATGAGCAATCTCTTTTCTATCTCTCTGTTGTCAAGGTATATTCTCCTGTGCTACAGTGTTTTTACCCTGATGTCTTTGTCTGCCTTCAGCTTTATCTGTGTTTTCTTGTCATCACGCTCTTTGCTGTTTGTTGTCTTTATCCTTGTTGGATTTGGAAAGCATAAAGCTTTACTGGACGCCCCAGAGACAACAGTTAGTCATGGAGACTGAGTGATTATTCTCTCACAGCAATCAGCTGCATCCACACAGATGGTTTTGTGTGGATGTATACTGCATATACCACAGGATCAGATAACATGATCCCTTCCAAGCACTGTACTTTTCTTAAGTGATGGATGTCCTTATACTGAGACTGTCGACTCAGCAGTGCAGGTGATTTGTGGATCACTTTTCTAGGGGAATCTCATGTAAACTAATTTCACTCTGTTCCATGTCCTTTTCTGTTAGGGGAGCAGGGGGCTTTCCACATGCCTGGGTCACATTCAGAGCATGTTTATCTGCCTCAGCCAGAGCTTAGTAGCTGCTTCATGGCCTGTCTGTCTAATGTGGGTCTTGACGGCGATGGATGAGCGTGATGTGGGGGGCTGGGTGACCACGCTGTGCAGAAATCCGTCAGACTGTATGGATTATTTATGCTCCACTCATACATACGGCTCTCTGGTCACTGGTACAGACCTGCTAACATTCATTTTAACCTATTTTTACACCATAATGGGATTTATTGATTTCAATGAGAGATTGAATTCCAGTGGTGGTAGGTTGTAGCTGTCTTCACAAGCCTGCCGCACTCCCTCCGTTGCTGATTTCAAAGTGTGAGCCGTGTGTCAGCATTGCCATGACATCGTCATGGCGACCCCGGCGGCTCTTGGTTAGCGGTCTTTTGTCAGTGTAACCCCCATCCTCCTCTTTTGGACCCTAACCCCAACCCCTAACAAGCACACAAACACATATGACCTTGCTCATCTTCCACTCAGTGTCCGCAGTGCCCTCCGCAGGCCTCGGTTGAGTGAGCACAAGAGAGGTCTTGACCTATGGGACAAAGGTTTGCTGTTACCGTAGGAACCGCTGTTTTCTTTCTCTCTCTCTGCCTCGCTTGCTCTCTCTCTGTCTCGCACGTTGCTGATAATGACTCTGTAATGTAGCTTGACTGACGTTCCTCTCCTCCCTCCAGTGTCTCTCGCTCTCTGTCTTACTCTGTCTCAATCCTCTCTAGACCTCTGAAGTCCGAAGCTAAGCCGCTCTGTGTGTTTACGTTCTCATGTTGTATGTTGGTGGCAACATGAGGTTAGCTTGGTCCACGACTTCACAGTTGCTGGTAGTGGGGTCATGAGTTCAGAATGGAACCTGTGTCATGTATGTCATTTAAATAGAAAGTCACGCATGGTGTGTGTTGACACAAAGCCTTGACATACTGTATGGTCCCCTTTAGACTGATCCATATCTGGACATATGTGTCTGCAAAAATGTATCATAAGTTTTTAACGACCTCAGGAAAATTAAGTTCACAAGCACAAATTCATCTCATCTTACCACTAGACAATAACTCAGCTGGGTTAATGTGAGTGTTTCCTGAATAGACAGAACGGATGTTAGTCAAGCAGTAGCCCAGAAAGCTTCTTTATTTTTTTGCCTTGAGGTAGTATTATAATGAGACAGCGCTGAGTGAAGTGAGTGGATGAAACAGGATGTCCTCTAAAGAAAGACCTTAGGGTCAGGAGCAAGGGGCTGAATGCTAAACAGGTTTGCTTTATCCTAGCAGAGCTAACACTGCTCTCATTCAGAATTACAAGTGTATTGTAGAGTGAGTAGCTCAGTGAAGCGGCCTGCTCACGTGCCAGGCTTCTCTTCACGTAGGGTGGCGTTTTTTAAACGGGTGGGACTCCTCACGGTCAGTTTAGTTTCTCAGGGATGTGAATCATGAATTTCCCCTACGGGATAAATAAAGTATCTATCTATCTATCTATCTATCTATCTATCTATCTATCTATCTATCTATCTATCTATCTATCTATCTATCTATCTATCTATCTATCTATCTATCTATCTACTGTATCTATCTATCTATCTATCTTTTTTTTCTCTGCATGTATTAAACCTAAACACTTGGTTGTTTCTTGCTCTGCTCTCTCTGCCAATGGCTCCAACCCTAAAGATTTTATATGGCATGCATTTGCTAATGAACAAGCCACCAGTACATTACATATCGGCTTTTTAAAAGACATTAGAAACATATTATTAACAATTACATAACACATAGAATCACACAAAACTATACTAGGCCAAACTATATGCAAATGATCTGTACTTCACATAGCTGCTTCAGTAGAATACCATTCATTTCTGTCATCAGAGCCTCTGAATAGACTCACAGGGAGCACTGAGGGCAGAAACTTGTTGAGCATGCAGTCAGCCTGTCTTCTAAAATAGTCTACTGTACCTTACACAGTGCAGGGCAAGTTAAGGTTAAACTAAAGACGTGTAAAGGGTGAGAACAACCAACAGCTGCTATCTTCTAGCCGTATAGCCCCCCCCCCCCCCCCCCCCCCCCCCCCCCCCCTCCCCACACACACACACACCCCCACCCCACCCCACCCCCTTTGATGTTCTTAGTGGGGCCTGATGGAAAGAGCTTACCGAAGATTGACCCACTTTACATGCGGATATATGAAGTTTGAATATGTGATATAAGGTCTGTTCTCTTTGACCAGTCTTAAGCTAAGCCGTAAAGGCAAACTCACTCCTTAGTGCACTTTCATGTGTAGCTCGTAGCTCCTCCACCCCCACCCCCACCCCATGTGCAATTCAGCAAAATCTCACCCATCTACTGTACAAGCCAAGTCTGTCATGTCTCCTCTAGCCAAACCTCGACCCAGCCTTCCTATCACAGCAGAGCCTAAGCCAGCCCATTGACCTACATTCATTCCTCCACATGTCTCTGTGCCTCGCTCTCTTTCTCTCTGTCCTCTGTCTTTCCCTTTCTGCAGCACTATGAGGCCTGTGAGGATAAGGTTACTGTATTTGGAGTGAATAGCTCAGAGGAGTGGAGTGTGTTGTGTCATAAGATACTCCATGTCCTTCATTCCTTAGTCGCCTGCTGCTGACCCACTAGAGCAGCGTGCCTCACCTGTTTGTGTGGATGGCCACATGTTGCATCAGCACCACTCATTAGGGCCTAAATGTATGAGCCAGTGTTGTGTTTAATCATGCGCACTGACAGATAAGGCAGTATTACTCTACGGCGTTGATGTTGATAATGATGTTATCAGTTTTGCACCATGCTAGCAGCGTGGCTTTGTGGACGGTCTACCACTTTGGTCCAAACTGAAATATTTCAACAACTATTGAATGAACTACCAAAACATTTTTGAACAGACATTCATGGTGCCCAGAAGGGCGCTCTTAACGACTTTGGTGATCCCCTAGCTTTTCTTCCAGTGCTACCAACAAAATGATCACTTATCTAGTGAAATATCTCGACATCTACTTGATGGATTGGCAAAAAATGTGGTACAGATATTAATGGTCTGTGTAGATTCCATTACTTGTCCTGTCGTACCATCATAAGCTGACATCTGTGGTTTTGAGTGAAATATCTCAACAACTATGAGATAAATTATCATGACATTTTTGTACAGACTTTCATGTCCACCCTCAGGATTTATTGCACAACACTTTTGCTGACTTTACATTTAGTGCTATTATAAGTTCAGAGTTTTGATTTACCACAAACTTTGGTTACGACATAATAAGTTTGAGCCTACTGACATGTAGTTTTTTTTCTATTGCCTAATAGAAAATGTTAGCATGCTAACATGCTAAACTGAAATGGTAAACATGAGCATTATACCTGCTAAACATTGTCATGTTAGCGAGCTGACATTAGCATTCAGCACCAAGCACTGCTGTATACAGCCTCACGGAGCTGCTGGTATGGATGTCAACTCTAGAATTTGACAGAGGTGACCTTAGAAATGGATTATTATCTTGTCTCCCTCTGTCTGCCCGCCTGAGTTTCTATATCACCTCTTTGACCTCTGTTTTTTTTGTCTCCCTCCACCCTCCCGCTGTCCTCTGCCTCTAGTCTGATGAGTGAGAGTGCCGGCAGCCTGCTCCTCCACCGCGATGGTCGACATGGAGAGCCACTACCATCCCCCTTCTCCCCTGGAGGACACGTTGCTGGACAGCCCCCTGTGCGCCGATGACGACTTCATGGGCGGCATGGAGGAGCTCCAGGACATCTCCCAGTCCATCGACAACGATGCCCTCAGCTCTTTCGATGTCCCTGAATACCAGTCCTCCAGCAATGGCTCCGAAGGTTCCACTGTCCTAGGTGAAAAGGGTCTGAATGTCACTGAATGGAAATACCTCTCTTAGGTCATTAATAATATGGTGAGATGACAAGGTGGGGGGTTGCTCCTACATCGTCATTTCACAGTTTTAAAGTATCCACGGTGGCTCAGTGTAATCGCCCGGTCATTGTCAGAGCAGGGGTCCCTCAGTTTAGCCACTTAATCCTTAATTTGCGCCAACTGAATGTTCAGACACACACTCTGGTTTATTTAACCTCTTGTGCAACAATCCTTTGACAGCCCCTTTTTACTCAGGTTGCCTGAGTGACCTACTTTTTCGTGCCTTTGGGGCGATAGTCTCTTGATCTTGATTGATTTGTCCTTCTCTGTCTCTGACTTACTCAGTGTCTTGGTGCATTTCCCTGCCCATTCCTTTCTGTACTTCCTCCTCATTTCTCCTTTTTCTCTCTAGCCTTATCTACCTCTGATTTTCCCTAAACCCTTGTTTTACCTCTCTGTCCTCCCTCAGTCCTTCTCCTCGCTCCATATCCAATGAGGAATTCACACATTCCTCAGCCACCATTCACCACCTCTCAGGAAACATCCACTTTGCTGCTGTGTTTCCTCCTGAATAGAAGTCACATGGGCATCTGGGAAATTTATGCTACTACCAAATTATGCAACAAGCGAACAAGTAGTGAATAGTCTAGAAAGATAGACATTTAATGGAATAATAGAGGGTGTGAGTGAGGTGGACAAAGGGAGGAGTGAAAAAAAGAGGGGAAGCGTTGGGAGAAGGCATCACGGAAACATTTGATGGTGTCATGGAAAAGTCAGTGAGAGGGCTGGTTAGGATTTATAGGTGTTTACAAGTGCGAACAGTGAGAGACGGGAGCAGAGGCAACACTGACATGCTTTTCTTGTCCGCACTGAGTCAAAACATGTGCACTTGCCACAGCTCCAGGTCCACTGCCAATGCTGCTTATCCGCGTTCTGGCGTCTCTTTACCAAACTCATGTGGCTTGACTTAGTGCCACCGTTTAGTACCATTGCATCTTTGCTATTTGTGCACCAAGCAAGTTCCATCGACCGTGTCCCCTTCACAAGGTGAAAATAGAAAACTGTTGGCAACCTATGGCGAACCTCATGACCTGTCTTCCATGAGGATGATCAGTAATACTACTCCCAACGCTGCATGCTAATATCTTTGAATAAATAGTCGCTGTGATGGAACAGACTGTTTTTGTTGGGGCAAAGAGGTCAAACTGTACTTTAATTCTACTAGGTCTTTGCCGCAGGGAGATGAGACTTCACAATAGAGACGCATTCATGAAGGCAGCCGTGACTGAAGCTTTTTATTGGCCTTCAGTTATCTCTGAATAATGACCCAATTTATTAACTGATTGTGGTGAAAATAACCATGTTCTTAATGGTCACACCAGAGGGCATGGCAGAAAAGGCTGCCGTCATAGAGGTGGGTGAGGTGCAATGAATCATATAACCGGTGCACACTTTTAGACAGTCTCTCGTCAAAGGCTTTATTGTGTTGCGCTCTGAAATTCTGTTGTAATTAGTTGATGTGAAGAATGGAAAAAGAGAGCTGAAGTTTAAATCCCGCATACTGCCTCACCTCTGGCACACCTGGCAGACACTGACACTGTGTGAAAAACAAAATTATCAAGAGCAGCCTCCACAGCTCTGACATCGGAAATGTGTCAGGGGAGGGGTTTCAGGCGCCGTTTGACAATCCGACGAGTAAAGGATGCTGATGCCTTCAGTCTGCAGGAATTACAGAGTCCAGTTAGTTATGATCTATGCCTCTGTAAGGCTGTGAGGAACATCAGTGCTTTGTACAGCGCACTTCTAGCAGTGTGCACTTTCTCTAAATACACGGTCATGAGGATGATTAGGACTGCAGCAACAATGGAAATTATACAGTACACACTGACATGAATGCAGATGCACTGAAGCTTCTGTGAGTGTGCGCCCACTTTCAAATCAGATATCGTTGTACTGTGTGTGTGTGTGTGTGTGTGTGTGTGTGTGTGTGTAAGTAAGAGCCATTGTCTCATTCTAATTGAATGTGCAGATGTGGGTGGCAACACTGTGAATATCAGAGAGGCCAAACTAGTTGGTGAAAGTCAGAACATACAAATGAGGCTTTTCACAAAAAACATCTGTGAAGGTTCTCTTGAGCAATATTTTTTTCCTGGATCAGCTTCGTGCACAACTGTAGAAAAATTGGATTTTATGTCTGTTTTGTAAAATAGCAAATGTAGCTCAAATGGGGGCGAATAGCGCTTGTGTTAGGGACTATTTTCAGTATCAAATTTGAGTATTACTAGTGAGTATTTATAGCTGCAAGGCTGTGTTTGTGGGACTGTAGGAATGCATCACCCAGTGCAGTTGCAGTGGCTCACTGATGTGTTGTCCCGCAGCAACAATGACATGTCAATCTATGGTAGATACAGCTTACTCTGTATCAGGTTTTTGCTACATCAACAATACTTGTCAGTTGGATCAATTCATTTCTGTTTTTGGTCTTCTCATGGGATTTGTTGTCAATAAAAAATATATACAATATCACCAGCCCATCACTTAGGATGTGTAGGGGGGAGGTAGTGCAATGACTGGTTTAACCAACCATGTGCTCGTCTCTTGTAGATGCCCTGACGCCAGCATCCAGCCCCTCATCAGTTGTTTACGGGCTGGCGGCCGGCCAGGAGGAGTTCTCATCTTCCTCCTCATCGCTCAATCTTGAGTGTCGAGTGTGTGCTGACCGCGCCTCGGGCTACCACTACGGAGTCCACGCCTGCGAGGGCTGCAAGGTGAGACGAAGATTACACACAGACACAAACACACATACGATCCGGTCAATCGAGTACTAGAGCAACGTAAGAATCGGTGACTGAGCAATAGAACATGTAGTTGTTGGAGGACATTACTGTGAGGATTAAATCTGTCACCAAGTTATCACGCCTCTGCCGCACCTGGTCTCTCCTGTTTTCTCAACCTACAACGTGTTTTATTTACTACTGCCCTCTGCCGCTACTTCTGTCAAGATCCATCAGGTACTTCCTTCCAAAGTCCCCCACACTCAGGCACAGACAAGCCAAGAATCACAGTGTTCTGATTAAACATTGACTAGTTTCAAGACAATAAATCGCATTCTGAAGTATAACACTTAAGAAAGTAGGACATGCCAGGCCAGAAATCCAGAGGCCATGTGTCTTGTGACTAATGATAACTCCTAAAAGCATCAGAAATACCAGGCTCGTCCTTCACATGTGGTCTCCCAATAATCTTTCAGTTAATTGTTTACCAGTCATGTTGAAGAACAACCCAAGGCTGTTTTTTAAGAGGCAGTAAAGGACAAAGATAGTGTCACTTGAGGTGTTTGTGCATGTGTTTTTGAGACTATGTTGGTGTGTTAGTATTCTGTTTTTTTTTTATATATTTTTTTTTTAAGTCACTGAAGGAAAAGTGGGCCACTGAAGGGAGAGACTTTCCTACACCTCCGCAACTGTAAATCCACTTAGTTCAGCTGAATGTAGCGGCCAAAACAGCAATGGGAGTATGAATATCAGGAAGTGATACATAAACTCCATCATGTCAAAGTGCTATTACATAAACATTCACATCAGAGCTGCGGCTCACTGCAGTAGAAGTGCAGTAGTAGAATGATTTTGTTTCGACTTTCAGAGATATTGAGCATTCATGTGTCAACACAGAATGATATCAACTAAACAAAAGCCTTGGTCAGTCCACAGGGCAGAGTCAGTGTTCTGTGACCTGTGCAGGGTGAAGTCGCGGGGCTGTAAAACAACAGGTTATCACAAAAGTCAAGGTACATTTGTTTAACTTTTAGGAGGGAGTCATTAGAAACACATCAGTCAGATGTGACCTATGAAGTGCCAAAGGGTAACGGTGAAGACCTTACTTGCAACATTAGCTGGATAAACTGAAGTCAGCATTTCTTGATCAGATCCGCAGAGATCTATATCGGAAAAGGCTTTTCCTATTTCAAACGCTTCAGACATTCAGCCGTCTTTCGCCCAACTTTTGAGAACGCTACCATTGTGTCCTTTGTAGTCGTTGTTGTCAACCTGCAGAAGTTGAAAAATATCACATGACGTATTTAGCAGGTGCAATGTTCAAACATGAGCCCCATGTATCTCCATGTACTATTTGTCTGAGTGAGTGGGATTGATGGAAAAGAAAGGGGGGGGAAATGAGCATTGAATATTCATGACTGAATTGGCCACAATCAAAGTTTAAGTTCAGAAAAATCTTTGTTATTGGTAAGTGATGTGTATTAACACTTAATAACCCAGTTAATTGCTTCACCGGGACTAGAACTAGTCTCATCTGCATGTTACTGGTAATGAAGATAAAACAGGGAGAGTGATGCACAGGGTCAAACAGGTATTGTGGAGAATGTAAAGGAGAAAACTGTGAAACCAGGTGCTTCTTCCAGGATGATGCCAGTGGTCGTCAGAATCGAGCACTCCGATTGTAAATGTGAAACTAAAAATCCTTTATTAATATATGGCTAACGCATTTCGACTCACACTTTCGAGTCTCATGCCCTTATGAAGACCCTGTGATTCAAGACGCGTTGTCGTATCCATATATTAATAAAGGATTTTTAGTTTCACATCCACAATCGGAGTGCCCCGGACATTCTTTTCCGACTGCCATTGTACAGTTTCAACTCTAATCAGACTTATTACACTGGACAGTTGTTTTTTTTTCTAGTTTATCATCTGCGTGTTATTTGGTCATGGGACAGTAATAGGAGGAGGCTGACCTCTGTGATGTCAGTACACTCATCCTTCACAACGGTGGACACAAGCAGAATCGGCATGAAGTCCACGTGGGGCTCTAATTCTGTCCTGGCTTCATGTCAGTCTTGCTTTATACGTGTATAAGTGTGTGTCTGTGTGTGTGTGTGTGTCTGTGCATGTGAGGTTGGGGGTTAGTGGGTGAGAGTCAGTCTGAATTACTTAACATGTGCTCACATGGTTGTAGCATGTCCGCGTAACCCCTGTGTAATCTTGTATTTTATGACCGTGTGTGTGTGTTTCAGACTGCGTGTGGGTCTGTGTGTATTTTGGCACACTGGGTGACAGTTTGAGATGAATATGTTATTAAGCAACTCCCCGGGCCATTTTCTACCCTCCAGCCAGCCACAAGTATGCCACTCAGTCCAGCTCTTCCTCGCCAGATTTAAATGTTTCTTTTTTGTCAAGGTTGTGTAAGCGAGGAGAGACTGATGGTGAAACTGTGCATCTGATATTGTCATGCACCACCCACAGGGGGAAAAATAGCTGCTTCTAATGGCGTCTTTCTTAATAAAGAGTTGGTCAATAGTTTTTTTCTGGATCTGGAAACTGGTTACATAACAGCTTAGAGTTTATTAAAAGGGAATTTGTTAGACTCTGTTACATTTCAGGTTTTATTAACTTATGTATTTTGTTTTTTAGAAATGTTTCACTAAGCTGGTCTGTATGTTCTCATTCTTACAAATGAAAATAATTGCCAAAATCTTTGCTTCATATTAGCAGTTTTCACATTTTTCCTTTTCCCTTCACTCCTCCAGGGTTTTTTCCGGAGGACCATCCGTCTGAAGCTGGAGTACGACAAGTGCGAGCGCCGCTGCAAGATCCAAAAGAAGAACCGCAACAAGTGCCAATACTGCCGCTTCCAGAAGTGCCTGTCAGTGGGCATGTCCCACAACGGTGAGTCGTACAGGGCAGGGCAGGTCAGGGCAGGGCAGGGCAGTGCTTCAAACTCAGCAGCACACACACACACACATACACACAGAGATGTCGTGGTTCTTGTTACTTGTATATACACACCGCTTAACAGAGTACCACAGTTGTGCACAAGCCAAGAAAGATTGAGCAGGCACGTACGCACATAATTAGCACAAGTAAGCAACCTGACACCACAGCTGGGTGTTAAGTTGCATGTTAAGGCAAGTCACTAACTGAAGACTACTCCCGGCGTCTATACAGCTGTGTGTGTGTGTGTGTGTGTGTGTGTGTGTGTGTGTGTGTGTGTGTGTGTGTGTATGTTCTGCAGAATTGAACTATTTCAACATTAATCCATTCGTAGCTTCCCTCTTCAGAAACGGACAAGAACTGTAACTCATGCGGTTGCAGCACATGATCTTTCTGTGTGCGTCTGCAGACTTTCCAGCGCAAGAGTCGTATCAGGCAGCAGCTGAACCCACTCAACCCTTTTGGTGCAGACGTGAGTCGCATAATCAGGTGAACAGACCCTCCTGATTATGTGAATTCCAACCTGCAAAAACCAATGGAGGGCGGTGACGGTCTGCTTTACTGTGCGGATACACCTGAAAACCAAGAAAGAGCATTTTAAGAGTCACAAACAATCCAAGATGTCAAAAATAATAATTATTAATACTAATTAATCATATGATGGGAATAGGACCTTTGATAACTGATTCTTTCCTTACTGTTTTATTTATTTTGACACTGACAGAAACCCTGGATTGTCTTCTACAGCAATAATTTCTACTCCTCCGCTCTGACAGTGTTCAGATCGAGAATAACATTATAATATTTAAGAAAAAAGTTAAAAAAAAATGGTCATGTACAAGAGTAGAATCATGTCATTACATCAAGTTTTTTCCTTTTGAAATTACAATCTTGTTTTGATACCATTACGGCTTAAAAATGTCCATTAACACTCTAAAATAATGTGAAAATTCACCCCTTTTAAATTCCTTGAACAAATACTTCAATTTTTTTTTGCTTGTTTGTTTGTTTTGTGGCTATTTGTTCAAAGTAACACATGCTTAGAGTCTGATACTTAGACTCTAGACTCTGTTAGTCTTGTGTGTTACTGAAAACGTCGGCACATTCAACATCTGTCAACACCCAAAAACAAAACACTGTCTCTCTTAAATGCCTTGCGACAGATTTGAACGTCAGTGCTGCTTATCTTTGTTTGGAATAAGGAATATTGAGGTCAAAGTATGAGATTTTGGTGAATGTTGTTTACTCCGTGTAAACATACAACATGGCATGCTGACCCTTGGCCAAGGTCAATGTCCTAAAAGAAAAAAAAAATGCTCTGAAATAGATTTAGGAGATGACGCGCGTGTATGTGTGTGTCGGGGGGGGGGTGGAGGGGTGCAGGTGCTCGTGTTTGCTGTCCTGTCAGTGTGTTTCTACCAGAAGAAGGTCAGTGTATTCGTTGGGTTTACATATAGACTGTGCAGACTTTGCAGTTATTCCATACTGGTGGCAGAGAACTTGTGGATACAGAGGCTGGGCAGAGGAGCGTCTTTATTTTGTCTCTCGGGATTATTGACTTAAAGGGCCCTTCCGATGCTTCCTTAAGACACAGCCTAGATTTTGATAATGATAGTGCCTTAAAGCTCAGCAGGAGCAGTATTTCTGTCCGCTGCACTTCCTCTCATGGTATACGTGTATTGAGTTTCATGGGCCTAAATGTAACCGTAGAGGGGGAGGAAGGAGATCTGAGATGCGAGTGCAACCTGATCTTTTGAGGTCTGGTGGTCTAAGATACCGCAGGACCACAGAACTGCTAATTTTGGGGGTTTGTCGTTCAGTTTTCATCGACCGCCAATTGATTCCAGTTGAATCTGATCATTCTGGATGATCCTTACTGAAATGGTTCAGGAGTGTCTTTTTTTATTTTTATTTAAATGTATTAACAAATGTTGAGATATCAATCGACATAGAAACTCGATGTGAACTTTAACCATTAAAATGACGTAGTTTACAATAAAGCGCAGTGAGCTGTGTTTCAGATTTAGTTACAATCAGGTGCTCTGTTTTATTTGATTATCATAAAATCTGTCCAAAACCGAATTTAGAAGAGGGAATTATAACATGAATGCATAACATATTCTGGCTTAGTGTTAGAAAATGTACTTTTATTTATTTATTTATTATTCAGTAACAATAACCCCCCCCCCCCCCCTTCAATTTTCAAATTTATAAGCGTATACGCAGGGTGAGGCCTCTCAAGCTTGTCTAACTCCACAAAAATTTCCTTGGGTGAAACTTGATTACTCATGTGCTTTACTTCATTTCAGGAGTATGCTACATGCTAACATCCCCTTATGTTTGCTGTTGCAACAGCAGCATTGTGCTTTTATTATCACACAACAAACTAGTGATTGAACATTTCTTGAATCCAGCAACTTAATGATCCGTCTCATGCACTGACAAGATGCACTGAAACAAACACATCATTTTGTGTTTTAGCAGTTAGTGAGAAAATAACAGGTCCAGAGCAATAATAAGTCTGACTGAAGTGAAGGACGGGTTTATTGGCCGGAATCACAGACACAAACAGATGATTCAACTCGATGACAGACCGTCAGGCCCCGACTCCCAACTTGAGTCGCAGAGTCATCCCCTCACACCGGCTCTTAGGAAATGGACTTACGCTCAGCTTAGCATCACTCACTTCCTCTCATCTTAATTAGACTTGGCTCCAGCCCAGGCGACCGCTGTGGAGCTTTACCAGCTTCAGAGGATCCATCCACTTTGTGAGCAGTAATCTAATGGGCCCTCATGCTGTCTGCTAGCTACGCATCTCATCCCTGCTCAGTCCTGCTCAGTACGCCTGGATTTGTTTCATCAGCGGGTGGCTCGTTGGAAAACAGGGAACTCAGATCTCCTTTTATGTGTTTATAGTCTTGTAAATGCAGGCAGTCACTGCAGCTGGATGTTGGCTGCTTAGAGGGAGGTGTGTGTGTGTGTGTGTGTGTCTGTGTGTGTGTGTGTGTGTGTGCATGGTGTGTGTGTGTGTGTGTGTGTGTGTGTGTGTGTGTGCGTGTGCGTGGTGTGTGTGTGTGTGTATGGCACCAGCTTGTGCCTATTTAGATTTTTAGAGTGGTGAGGAGGGGTTAAAAACAGTTCACCTCTAATCTCATTAGTCAAATGGGATCAGGCCGTCTGAGAGATGCCAGCATCCTCTCGTAGAAAAACAACTCTTGCATGGTGTTGACACACACTTCACACAACCGCTGCCCACTTCCAACACACCTCGTAATGGCTAGTAACCTATTGTGTTCATTCACAATTTTCTATAGATATGTTACATAAAAAGACAGAGTCTGTGTCCCTGCCCTTTTTCATTTGTGCTTTAGTGACATGAAAGTTTGGAAAGTTTCTCAGGTCCTTCGAAATAGAGAATTTAGGTGGGTCAAAAAACTCAGTGCCTGTTTTTAAATGTTAATCAATTCTTTTTTTCTTTATTTTTATAATTAAAATTTATTTGCGTTTGATAGCAATAAGAACACAACAGTGGAAAAGGGAAAAACAAAAAACAAATAGGCAGGTAGTGCAACTGACAATGACAAATTGATATATACAAAACAATAGTTACGTGATGATAGCAATGTGATAGGTACTAGGACACAGTGACTAACAAATGTAATCTATCAGACCACAAGTTTCTTTACAGAACCAGAACATCTTTTCACACGCTGCAGTTTCCAGCATTTGAACCTTCCACATATTTAGTGTAGGTGTTTAAGGTTCCTTCCAACACCGTAGAATCATCCGTGCACTGGTGATTAGGCCAGTTTTTAATATCCTAATATATCTAATTGTGGAGCAACTGGTTTGTCCCCAAGGAGACACAATCTTGGTGATCTGGGCAACTCATACATTTACCATCTACCCATAAAATCTACTACGTTCCTCCACAAAGGAGAAACAAACATTGTTCCATATAGATGCGTATTTCTGAGTATAATGTGAAATCACACATTTTTTTATGTAGTACCTGCCACACTGTCTTTGAATGTGCCAGAATAGGATTCAAAATATTATTTTCCCCCTTTTATTATTGACTGTGCAAGAGAATCAATAGGTTTAAAAGGAGAGGTAAGTTCCAGTTCAGCAGGATCCAATCCAAATCAGCATCCGTTAATGTTAATTAATGTATGCAAATGGATCAATGGATATCAGTGTTACTGTTCCTTATGTGCTGTAGTGTTTCATTGTGGTAGGATGGGATTGAATTCTTATGTTATCCCATCCAGTGGAAATGTGTGGACCGGGTACTTTGTATTTAATGTCATTTGATTTGATTCCCAGTTGCTCCAGCTGATGAACAGATGTTCACAATGAAATATTTGAGCCCAGATTTAATTTAATAATTAGTATCTCAAGTGCTGGTTTTATTACATGGGGGACACTGACACTTGGAGATTATTTTAGGGCGACACTTTTTGCGTCTTTGGAAGAAACTTCTGTGGGGAGCTGGTCAGTGTTTTCCTGACCTCTTGGCCTCTTTTAGGAGAGGAGGAGTCTATTGAAAACTGTTTTTTCTGTGGATTTAGAGCGAGTGTCTAGCACAGGCTATATTCTGTTTTGCACAACATCTCTGCTGCCGTCTTCATGTAAAAACCAAAGGAATTAAATCATGTTATTAAAATGAGGTTTTAACTTCTCTGACTTTAAAATTAAGGCCTGTAGCTGCACTTTGGTCAATTCATAAGAAGTGCCAGACTCAATGCCAGAAATGACAGATTAAGATATTATGCTTGTCATGGAAATATACTTTATTTAAACTACAACAGGATACTGTCCTCAGAGCCATAGTCTCCGGGGGGGGCGGGGGGGCTTTGGCACCAGGTGTCAGGAAAACAGTCCAAGAACTGCTTTTTGTGTTTCTAGTGATGCTATTTTTGAACATTTCATTGCCTCTGCTCCACAAGCTTTGTTTGGATGGATTTAATAGCTTTGGGTACATTTAATGTCTTTTTCTTTGCTGATATGTTGACTTGGAGTCGTTTTACTTCATGGGGTGTCTTTGTAGAGATTTTGAAAATGATTCCTCCAGATTTCAGCATCTGGAATAAGTGATAATTGTGGTTTTGTGGAGTTCAAGATATTTTACATCTTCCAAAACCGGGTTTGTTCTTAAGCTCTCTGTGTGCTCTCTTTGGTCTTACACAGTAGTTTTCTCCATGTCCTGTTGCATGGCCTTTTGGTTTTTACAGTAAACATAATACATGTAATATTAAGTGTTTTTTAATGCATTTATAGTAATTTCCATTATTGATTTTTATCTGTCTCTTTATTCATACTGGCACAAATTCTATCATCTCAATCTGACTTTCTTTCTGCTGTCCACAGCCATCCGTTTTGGTCGGATGCCCCAGTCGGAGAAGCTAAAGTTGAAGGCGGAGATGGTGACGGGGGACAGGGAGGTGGAAGACCCTCAGATAGCCGACCAGAAGACGCTGGCCAGGCAGATTTACGAGGCCTACCTCAAGAACTTCAACATGAACAAGGCCAAGGCTCGAACCATTCTCACTGGCAAGACCAGCACCCCTGTACGTTGATTTAGAGTAGTGGGTTGCGTGTGTGTGTGTGTGTGGATTGCGTGTGCATGGCTCTCCTCATTACCAGAGTTTCCTCACAGGTCAAAGTCATGTTGTCTTGCAACTTTTAATTTATTCCTTCCCCATTGGAGCTATTTTTAATGTCATTCTGAGCACACCGAAAATTTGCAATCAAACTCATGTCTCAATATGACCTGGCAGCCACTACCTCAGAGATTACGTGCAGCCAGGCAATGACAGAAATAACTTGCTCAATCAGTAGTGCAAGCCAGCACACAAGCTGGACAAGGAAACGTCTGTTTGCACAGAAACGATATAAAGAGCCAGTGTATGAGCCCATCACATCCCCCGCCACCTCTGTTTCCCTCTATTCCTGTGCTCTTTTTCATCACCCGTCCCCAATCCCACCAAAAATATTCCCCCGCAGCCTCGCTTCTGTCGCTTTGTTTTCATCGGAGCGGCGGGGTCAGCAAAGGGGAGGGTCAGGGACTACAGCTCAGAGTTGTTGTGAATTCCATGGATGGATGTGTGTAGGTGTGAAATCGGTCAAGAGCAACAGGTCAGTCCAAGTGCACATCCATGTTCAAACACAGACCTTCCCCACTTCTGGAGATCAAAGCTTCCAAATGGATAAGTGTCTTTTTAGAGGGGGCAGAGGGAGCATGTGGGTCCTGCAGGCACTGGGAAGCAGTCAGTTGGAAATACACCATGTTGTTTGATCCACCTTTGATTTTAAAGCTTATTCATGGTGCCCCAACAATGAACTTCCCATGAAAATCATAATGTATCATTTGCAGAGCTCGATGTACAAATTCTAACATGTTACATAACTTTGATTCTGAAATTTGTTTTTATGTATTTAGGAGATATAGCCTATGTTTTAAAATGCTCTAGAGACTGTAGCAAATAGAGAGTTGTTATAGAAAACTATCAAATGGTTAATCGTCCTTGTAGAAAATGTGTATCTTCTGTGAACATTTTATTAAGGCATCCAGGTAATTCCTGCAATTGAGACAGGGAATTTCCATCAGGATTGACTCATCAGTCTCAACGTCTGAAAGAAACACTCAGGCATAATTGTGTTGGGACTGATTTGTGTGCAGCTAATTTTATTGTCTGACTCAACTGGTTTTGCGGTGGTATGATTCACCTGAACAGTGTACAGCCTTGACAGGATGTTTTTTTTCCCTTTTATAAAAATAAAAAATAAAAACACAGTTAGAAATGTCAAGCTCTTGCTGCTGCAGTGTACTGTTGATAGAGTATTAGGAAATAAAAGATTGTCTTTTAAAAGATATAGCTTTGCTCTCTAAGACTGTGACTAATGATCATTATTGATTATTCAAATCATAACTGAGGGAGGCTATAAATAGTTTTTAGCCATGCTAACGGTGTGGCTCTACGACTGGCAGTGTTGGTCTGTCGGCCATTTGGTTGGTCTACCACTTTGGTCCAGAACACTATCAGACTGCCATTATATTTTGTACAGAAATTAATGTTCTCCAGAGGCAAAGCCTCCGGTGATGTCCTTTTCAAACCAAGGACATTCACATTAGCAATGGCTGTACTTTGTGTTTAGTGCTAATTAGCAAATGCTAGCATGCTACACAAAGCCAATGAACATGGTAAACATTATACCTTCTAAGAATCAGCATCTTAGCATTGTGACTGTGAGCATGTGACATTTGCATTTAGTTCAAAGCATCATTGTGCCTCAGTAAAGCCTCACAGAGTTGCTAGCATGGCTGCAGACTCTGATCTTGTCATTTTTTGCTACTTGTAATTCTCTTGCTTCTCAAAATGCTGTAGCCCTGACAAGGCTCAATGGATCGACTTTGCTTTAACAAATGTGTTGCAGTACATAATCAGCTAACGTGTAGCACTGTCAGTGTAGCATTCCAGCTAGCTCTGCTTTCAGTGTAAACTATTAATGTTACTAGAAAAAAATATTTGGCATACGAACTGGTTTATGCATCTATAAGGGTGTCGCTCCTTGGCCAAGGAGAGTAATCATATCAGCTTTTCAGCACGCTACTCACTGAAGTACCAAGGTCTTTTCTGAGGTTATTGTAACAACAGGATGATGATTGGGGCTTCTTTGCTTCCACAGGATCACATAGCATCAGTTCGGGCTGTTAGCCCAAAGAGAAGCACAGTGTATCCTTTAGAAAAACTCCACTTATTTACTCAAGGTACACAGTGTGCATGTGCAGGAAGTCTGTGTCAGTAGTTTTGGTGCAACGTTGCTTCAAAGCATTTTGAAACTAAGATTTATACTTCACGAACAATATTTATATTGTATCCTAATAGAAAATGTAACATTCATTTGTTTGTGATATCAAATTATGTATCGAATTAAGTACTGTAAACAATCTGGCAGAAGTTACCTGATAATCAAATGCTGTGTTGACCGAGAAGCGCCACGAATTCAGGCAGCTCGCCGTCACGAGCCTCATACCTTCCCTTGCTGCTGTTGACCACAATTAGCACAGCGTTCATGAGTCAGAGCTGTGATATGATGAGCAGCAGCAGGTGTAGCTGCTCATCAGATGCTGGAACAGTGACACAGCTTAAAGCGCCTATTAGCTAGAATCAATCACTGCCATTCAGAGCTGCCTACATTTACATACCTGTGTCTCTACAATAACATTATCAGGATTTTGGACACAACTTTTTTTATTATGAAGGCGTACTTTGTCAACTGTGGCATTGTTTCAAATGAACTTTGTTCTTTATTTCTAGAGAATTTGTTTACACCTGAAACTTTTGTTTTGAGTGTTAAGAGTGACATCTATAATTATAGCTGCAGGGTCAAGGAGAGTAATTATGTCATTGTGGAAATATTCAAGTGTCAATAAGGGCTCTGGGCTTAGCTTCTCCTTCCAGTAAAGATTATGTGTAAACACCACAGTCACTAGAGTTTTTCATTGCTGTTTCAGCTTTTTCCATATTTATGTAGTTAAGTGAGGTCAGGTTTATTTATGTAGTCGAAAATCACAGTACACACTGTACCGACTGTGTTGCCTTTCAATTAGAAACACATTTTTATCCATAGTTTACACACAGGGCTTATGAGAGTGTCTCTTTCTCCACTGTCCACAGCCTTTCGTCATCCACGACATGGAGACCCTCCAGTTGGCAGAGCAGACGCTGGTGGCCAAGATGGTCGGCTCTGCGGGAGTGCTGAAGGACAGGGAGGCAGAGGTTCGGATTTTCCACTGCTGCCAGTGCACATCGGTGGAAACCGTCACGGAGCTCACAGAGTTTGCAAAGTCCGTCCCCGGGTTCTCGAGCCTGGACCTCAACGATCAGGTGACTCTTTTGAAATATGGAGTGTACGAGGCTCTCTTCGCCATGCTCGCCTCCAGTATGAACAAGGACGGGCTCCTTGTAGCGTACGGCTCAGGCTTCATCACCCGGGAATTCCTCAAGAGCCTGCGGCGTCCATTCAGTGATATGATGGAGCCAAAGTTCCAGTTTGCCATGAAGTTTAACGCGCTAGAGCTTGACGACAGTGACCTGGCTCTGTTTGTGGCTGCCATTATCTGCTGTGGAGGTGAGGGTGCAGGAAAAATAACATTGCTTATAGTTAAACTCTTAATTTGCTGCATGGAATATTACATCTTCTTTTTGCTCTTTGAAAGCTTTTACTCAATTTCATCAAATTAAACAAATTGTAGAAATTGTTCAATATTTTATTCTATCAGGAAATTATAGTCAAAGAGTCTCACTCAACTTTATTTCTCCTCTACTACAATTAGACCGACCAGGCCTGGTGAATGTGGCGCACATCGAGCGAATGCAGGAGAGCATTGTGCAGGTGCTACAGCTCCATCTGCTGGCCAATCATCCAGACGACGTTTTCCTCTTCCCCAAGCTGCTGCAGAAACTGGCTGACCTCCGGCAGCTAGTCACTGAGCACGCACAGCTGGTGCAGGAGATCAAAAAGACAGAGGACACGTCGCTGCACCCGCTCCTGCAGGAGATCTACAGAGACATGTACTGAGGATTGTGGATGAATAACCAGGAGAGGCACTCTGCAAACCATCTCCTTTTTTCAGGGACAGAAGAAGAAGAAGAGTCCTCCATAAGCTAGGGTTGAACCACTTAACCCCCCCCCTTCCCCCAATGCAGCAAGAGTTAGCTTTGGTCAGAAAAAGAGGCCCAAGCAAGAAGCTAGTGATTCTCTTGTTCTGACACAGTGCTCTCCACTCCATTGTGTGGACCTTCCCAGGCAGAGAAGTCATGTATGCAAAGCTGCAATGTACAGCTGATTGAGCCCCTGCTTAGGCACCAGTGTATGCAATCTCAGACCAAACCTCTCGGATAAAAACACTAAATACTAATTTAAAGTCTGACCTCTGTGTTTATCCCCATCCTGACCCTTAACAAACATGAAGAAAGACAGTGAACTTCATAGTCGTCACTCCAGCAGTACGTTTGAGAGTACATTTTTATACTGATGTCAAAGAGCAAAGAGCCATATACCTTCACAGTTAACAGCACCCAAATGACTTCAGTGGCAGCAGCAACATTAAGACAGTAATGATACAGTTTTCAAGCAAGGCAGCTTCTGCCAAATTGGCTACCAAGAAAGGGTGGTTGTCCGTGCACCAGCCCTCCAGCATGTTTCCTCACCTTTTTATACCCAGAGACACGACCGTCACCAGGCTCCTGAACGTAATCATTTATTTGTACTGTAAGCCTTCGAAGCCATACTCTGTTTGTAAAGATACTGGAAATGATCAACATCTTCTCTCTTCCTAACAAGACAGCATCAAGACTCGGTATGGATGGTCATCACTTATTTCTCAGCTTGTACACAAACTATTCAGGCAGTAGTATTTTTACACTTCAGTATAAATCAGCAAAATTTGAAGTTTTTGCAGACTGAAGTGACCGCAGACGCAGATTCACTGTGTACACGCACCGCAAGCACAGACACGCCTGTGATATGTTAATGAGACACTATTTTATATCGGACCTCTGTTGAATGCCTTTCTCGCAAAACACATGCACAGACGTTTGGCACTCCATCCTGTTTTGTGTCCTGGTATTCAAGGGCTAAGACCAAGATAAACCGCATTACGACCTTAATACGGGCAGACTTAGGGTGGATTTGCTGGAAATGAATTCATCTGTTTCTTAATTTCTCACTCACTGAGGCCCTGTTCCTCAAAATTACATCTCATTATTTTTTTTCTCGCAATTAGTCATGCTGTCTCTCTCCTCGCTCTCCTGTCAGTACTTCTGCCTTCTGTTGTGTTTCACGGACTGTGTTCGGTCCCATTAACACATGCAGTAGATTAAGATTCAGGGGTCTTATGCACACATTTTTTTATGAGATGGCAAATCACAAGCATTTTTTTTCTTCATAGGAGAAAATCAGAATGCTACGGCCTCACAGATTAAACCAAGACTTTGACAATTGGAGGTTTTTTCATCATCAGAAACCCTCATTTTGAGTGAAAAGGATTCTGTGTTGGTCAAACGGTCAAACCAAACACAAGCATGTGGCCATCTGCACTTACGACATTTTTCACAATTACATAATTATATAGTGATGGATGAAGACCAAATACGTTTCCATGTGGCATCATTTAGATGTTTTTGTCCGTTATCTGTTATGATGTGAAAATGCCACTCCTGTATTTTATAATCATACTGCCTTTTATAAAAAGAAAGAAAAAATGAACATGCGACACAGAAGACCTACAGTAAAGGAATGCTGATGGTGAAAACATGCATGTCTCATACTTTGCGTAATATATATGTGGATCTGAGAGAGAATGCCCCCCTCCCTCCCTCCCAACCACCCCTCCCATCTGCTTATCCAACCAAAATCTAAAATCATCATGAACTGACTGAAAGTCAGTTCATGAGAAATGGACTTTGTGTTTATAATTACATCCCATTGTATAAACAGAGTGAACTGTACATAGCTGAAATGATCGCACCGACTACCCCGCCCCAACTTTTAACTCTTGAGGTATACAAGGTACTATGATGATCAACTTTTGTATTCCTCTGTTTGGTGAAAAAAACAACTTTTAAATGTTTGAAATTCTACAGCAAGTGTAGTTATGTACTGTACGTTCTATTTTTTTTTTTTTTTTTTGCTTAAATGCCACATAATTGTGTTTTAATTGTATTGGATCATATTTTTATACTAAAGTATATATGTATGACTAAATCAGATCATTGTTTATTTGAAATGGCACGATTGAAGAGTGCAGTGTAAATAGATTAGAGGGTTAATAAGGCAACTGGTCATCTGAATATCCGTAGATCTGAATCCGATCGGGGACATTCCTTTTGTTCATTTGCTGTTTTGTAGAAAGAGAACCATCATGTCTACAATATGCGTTCGGTTTCATTTCCCCTGTACTTCATTTATCTGACAAACCATGCTCTTATGAAGCATACAAGGGCTGTGCAGGGCCATGGTAGCTCATAAAACTTGACCTCCATGATCTCTGAATACAATGAAAACTACACTTATCATTTGAAAGGTTGAGCTACTCAGCACTGATCATACAATACTGCTCTCCTCTTTTTATACTCTCTTCTCAGGTTGCACATTAAAAAAGAAACGAGTGGGGTAATTAACATATGCACAGAATTTCATCATTATTATCAGTTGAACAAACCAACCTTTATTTTATTTTATTTTTTGTTCACACACCTCCTCTTGTCAAATAGACACAGTGAATGCACTCATAATGCTATTACAGTAAAGAAGATGCAGTAATGAAAATGCAGTATATATTATTGTATAATCCTGTTTTTGTCACGCTTCCTGTCTGACTTTTCTCTCCTCACTCGCTGCTATATTGTACTAACTCACCTAACATTTCTTATGCCATGAGTAGATTACGAACTCTTCAAGCTGCCTCTTACATATTATTATCTTCTCACAGAATGTCAGTCCCACATGCAGAATTCACTGAACGCAGCTCGGGTTTTTTTTCCCCTCGCAGACTCCTGGGGACTTGGGTGTTCCCTGGTATGCTTGGGGGATTAGCCACAAACAATCTGTGCCTTAGCGTGTGCCCATGCCATACAACACGAGAGATTCATAAAAAATAAAAAAAATAAAAAAAACTTGACTTGTGCACACACACACTTTCAGAATTGTAAACTGTTGGTGTCCTCAGCTAGATTTAGCTGTTGGCGACACACTAGGGCCACGCAGAGAGGAAATGATGTCACAGCAGATTTAGGAAAATATCCTATGGAAACTACAGTAAGAAAGAGGCTCAAAAGCGCTATTGAAGCTTCATTTGACAGTAACAGCGAAGGATTTGCTTTAATGAAAGGCATTTAAAAAGCTGAACAGAAAATGGTTGAAACCCTAGAGCCAGGCCCTGGAGGAGAAGTCATGTAAATTTGTGATGTCTGCTTTCCCTTAGGAATGTCTGTTTTGTGTTGAATTGACAAGGGACTTTTTAACTCGTATCAGGGAAACCTAGTCTTCCTTTGGTGAACTAGCTCAGGACATAGAAAGGTACTGTTCTTCCTCCTTGCTCTATCTGTCTCTCTTATTCCCTCTGGAATAAGTTTATTAGTGCTCTGCCTTACAGCACATAAACACCAACAACAATATTGATTAATATTACCTTAATTTTATTTTCCAAAACTGACAGAAAAAATATATATATATACTACCGGGGGGCAGCAGTCATAAGAATTAGATATTTGATTGATTTTTTTTTTTCTTCCTGGAGTTTGTTTTCGTGGATATAGTGTCATGCAAAGAGACAACAGAGACTGTCTTTGGATGTGTTGTTAATGTGTACTGTGGCTTGGTAACAAATACTGTAAATGTTTGATGAATGTATATCTAGTCATTTAAACAATGAAACAAGTTGACATTGAATGGATTTCAAAATAAAATGATTTTAAAATCCACTATGTTCAGTATGTTTGTTTTAATAAGTTAATATCATTTCCATTTTCCTGCACCATCTGAACTAGGTTTCTATGGTTGTTTCCATACATGTGTCTCTGCCAGACTAAAATTTCCACAGACTCAAATACATCTAGAAACATATTAAAATGCAGAGTTATCTGTCATGTAAACTGAACCTGATGCAAGGGCTCCATCTATTGGTCTGCAGTCAATCCTGCAACTAGAGTATATTGACTGTACAATGTAGTGAAGTGCACATACTGCATTTTGGTTCAGTGATTTATTTTTTATAGTCATCACAACAGGTCTACAGTGTTGATGCCAGAAGATCCCACTGTTTTGTGCTAAAAGGGAAGAAGGACTGTCACAGCCTGTAATTATATTACATTGCTGTTATTATGTCAGTTGATGAGTGGCAGAAATTAATTTTAATTAATTACGTGGGAGGGAGGGGGGGCTATTGCTATGTGCATAAGGCAGTGCAGCATGGCATCTCAAACATTTTCCAAGGCAAACAAGAAGAAGACCCCAAACAGATTTACATTAGTCCAGAAAGATGTTAATAAACAAACACCTATACATATCTCAGATCTATAGTGTTTGTTTTTATGTGTGGGTGTGTGGGTCCAGATTTGCATATGATGGTCTTAAAACTATAATCTCAATACAGGGACCATCTTGAAGGCAGGGCTCCTGATAAGGTATTTTAACACAACCCATATTAAGGCCCTTGTTCTGTCACATATAGTCAGCTACTTTAGTGTTGCATGACCATGACTGGATTACCAACTGGGTGATGCAAACTGCTCCTGGGCCCCAGGTTAAATGTGTGTATGGCTTCTGCATATATAAATGTGTTTAACTTGTTTACTTTAAGGTGACAATATACATACACAGTGCACAGAGAGACAGTGGTGTTGGCACAGGGTGTCAAAAAGGACCCACAGCTAACCCCCATAAAGTGGGTTAATCAGGCATGTGCTTATATACCTGCCTGAGGTTCTAGGGCCCCAGGGCAGGTGCCTGCTTTGCCCTGTTCATCCTTTTTCATTGGGGTTAGGAAAGTCTGCAACCAAAAGGCCTCCTTCGTCTTTGAGGACCAGTGCACTAGAGGGCGCTCTGCTCCAAACTAACTATCCATGCCTCCTGTGTCTGCATGTCACATTGTCCAACATGGCTGCGTCCATGGTAAGGACTTGCCGTTTTGTATGGCGGCATGGGTCCTGTATTCTCCTCAGGCCAACGAGTCTTTACCTCAGCCTCAGGTGTAAATTTCACTGTTCTTCCACCGCACATAACGGACTGCTCTTCTCTCTGAATAAACGCGGTGTTCTGAAGGACTCTTTCCCAGAAAACGCAGCTCAGGACCGGCTACCTCGGCTGCTCCAGTCCGGTGCTCAGACTGTATACTGCGGCTTTGATCCCACGGCCGACAGCCTCCATGTGGGCAACTTGCTCGCTATCATCGGCCTGCTGCACTTCCGCAGCGCCGGGCATCATGTCCTCGCTGTGCTCGGAGGTGCCACGGCACAAATCGGGGACCCGAGCGGAAAGACGACCGAGAGGGAGCGGATGTCCGCGGACGCCGTGGAGGCGAACACCCACAGCATCAGGGAGAGCATCCAGAGGATTTTCACCAACCACGAACTGCAATTTCACGACAGCTCCAGAAAGCTGGGTACTGTGACCGTACTGAACAACCTGAGCTGGTATAAGGACTGGGGCGTCGTGGCCTTCCTGTCGGAGGCCGGCAGGCACTTCAGGATGGGCACCATGCTCAGCCGCCACAGCGTGCAGTCCAGGCTGAAGAGCGCAGACGGTATGAGCCTGACAGAGTTCACCTACCAGGTGTTCCAAGCTTATGACTTCTACCACCTGAACCAAATATACGGCTGCAAGATTCAGCTCGGAGGCACCGACCAGCTGGGCAACTTGATGTCTGGCCATGAATACATTCACAAGTAAATGTCCATCCTACTTAAAAAAAAAGAGTAGGCTACAACGCCTTACTGCAGCAACTGTTTTATATGGAGAGAGAGAGCTTGGTTCCAAACCTCGTTGAAAATTCTGTTAATTTAACATCTCATCGACCCCTGGTAAATGTACACACAGCAGAAAATGTGATGAACTATATTATGTGGTTTGTTAGGAGTCACCCTTCAATTCTGCATACTTCCAATCCACTGAAGGAGCATTTTATTTTACTAGGTGAGCTGCTGTTCACACAGCGCAAGCTCATAACAGCTACCACCTGAACCGGCTGTATGGTTGCAAGATTCACCTCAGAGGCACCAACCAGCCTGGCACATGTGATGTCTGGCCACGAGTCCATTCACAAGTAAATGTCCATCCTACTCAAAAAGGCTATAACAAAGTTCTCTCTTCTGTACGGAGAGATACGTCTGTACCAGACCCCATTGAAAATTCTGGTAATTTATTATTTCAGCCATCTTTGGTAAATGCACAAACCAGAAAATGCAACTAAATGTCTTGTGTGAATTGATAAGAGCCAAGCTTCTATTCTGCATGCTTCTAATTCCCCAAGCAACTATTAATGTAGGTTTTTTCTCTATTTTTTAATATTAAGACAACCCCTTTAAAAGCACTCAATTTAGATTGATTCCTTCGCTTACAGTTGCCATATTAGAGCTACCAAGGGGGACACTATTTTATCCATCTATCACAATATTAATGAATGTTTTTTTTAGATTAAACAAAGTATGGCAAATATATACTAAATCCTTTTTATGTTTTCATACGGTGAACTGTGTTTTATTGTGCAGATCAGACAAAACTTGTCACATGAAAAACAAAAACTTTAGTTGCACATTTTTTTAGTTTTCATTTGACATCATAAATTTGTAAAACAATAACACAACATGATCTTATAATCTCTATTGGATTCTACTTAAAGTTTAATTATTACTCCATGTTATGATGATGTATATGCAGAAAAGGCACCAGCAGTTCAACAGTGTGAACCAATCCACTTGCGTGTTTTGATATACCCAAACTAGACTTGTAACACTTGAAATCCTGGTATCTCTCCAGAATGAGCGGTGAGGAGGTGTACGGCCTGACCATCCCCCTGGTGACCAGCTCTGTCGGGGACAAGCTGGGGAAGACAGCAGGGAACGCAGTGTGGCTCAACAGAGACAAGACATCACCCTTTGAACTCTACCAGTTCTTTCTCAGGCAGCCTGACAGCAGTGTGGAACGGTACGTGAAGATAAAGGTGTTTGTAAGATCTGAAAGCATCTCATATATAGGTGCTTGTAGGACCCATCACCTTAGTTTGGCTGGTTTAGTCTGGTTGAGTCTAACATATTGTAAATATACAGTCGCTTCAGAAAGTATTCAGACCACTTCACAATTTGCACACTTTATTGTGTTGTAGATTTCATTGTAAATGGATACATTTGCAATTTTTGCTCTTCAATCTGCACCCAATAATCCACAATGACAAAGTGAAAACATGATTTTAGAATTCTTTTTCAGATTTTTTTAAAACTCAGTCTTCGCCTGGGCCACTCAAGGTCAGTCACAGACTTGTCTCGGAGCCACTCCAGTGTTTTCTTGGCTGTATGCTTCAGGTCATTGTTGGGTTAAAAGGTGAACCTTCGCCCGAGTCTGAGGTCATGTGCATTCTGGAGCGGGTTTTCTTCAAGAACCTCTCTGTATTTGGCTGCATTCATCCTCCCTCAATTCTGACCAGTCTCCCTGTCTCTACTGCTGAGAAGGTCTCCGTAGCTTGATGCTGCCACCGCCATGCTTCACTGTAGGGAGGTATTAGCCAGGTGATGAGCGGTGCTAGGTGTTCACCAGACATAGTGCTTGGAGTTCTGCCCAGACACTTTAATTTTTGTCTCATCAGACCAGATTGTATTTTTTCTGGTCTCAGAGTGTTTGAAATGCTGTTTGGCAAACACCAAATGAGCTGTTATGTACCCTTAACTCAAAGTGGCCTCCGAATAGCCACTCTACTATGACGACCTGATCGATGCAGTGTTGCTGAAGTGGTCGTCCTTCCAGCAGGTTCAGAGGACTTCTAAAGCTCTGTTACAGTGACTGTTGGGTTCTTGTCACCTCCCCGACTAAGGCCTTTCTCCCTCAGCCTTTCTTTACTCAGTTTGGCCAGACAGTCAAGTCCTGGTTCCAAACTTCTTCCATTTTACAATTATTGAAGCCACTGTGCTCAAGCTTTAGAAATGGGTGTATACCCTTACTCTGATCTGTGCCTTGTCACAAAATTTTATGGTCTTGCTGTTCTTGGACTTCATGGCTTAGTTTTTGTCCTGACATGTAGTTTGAATTGTGGGATCTTCCACACACAGATGTGTGCCATTTGAAATTATTGCCAAACAACTCAATTTGCCTCAAGGCAACTCCAGTCAAGTTCTAGACACGTTTCAAGGAAGATTAAAGCAAACAGGATCCTGGAGTGCCACAGCATGGTCTGAATGATTTTGAAAAATGGAAGATTTCAGTTTTTTATTTTGAATAAATTTGCAGCAAATTTTAAAAATGTGTTTGTCATAATGGGTTATTGAGTGTGTAGACTGGGGGGCATAAATGGCAGTTTTATCCACTTAAATTTAAATATATACTGTATCACAAAGTGTTCACAAAATTAGGGGGGTTGAATACTTTCTGATGCCACTGTAGGTTCTCTCTGCACTGTAACAGGAGGCTGAGGTATGATGTGTCATCTTTTCACAGGTACCTGAAGCTGTTCACCTTCCTGCCTCTGGCGGAAGTGGAGAGGCTGATGGAGCAGCAGAGAGAGGATCCAGGTAAACGCCTTGCACATAAGCGTCTGGCTGCAGAAGTGACGAAACTGGTGCATGGAAAGGAGGGCCTCGAAAGTGCTAAGAGGTCAGAGCGGACTGTATGTGTGTTTGAATGTTTTATTTAATCCTCTTTTATTCAACATAATTGTTCTTGAACATTTCTTACAGGTATACACGTTATTTTTTTTATTTAAGTCAGACACCAAACCCGTAACCTCCACCAGGGTCACTGTTCTGAAACGGCCCGTGACCTCTGACCTCATTGCAGAGGGGACAATTTACCTATTTACGTATTTATTTATCACTGCAGATGTACCAACGCGCTGTACCACAGCAGCGTGCAGGCCTTGGAGGAAATGAGTGACGAGGAGCTTCAGGAGCTCTTCAGGGAGGCTCCCTTCCATGAGCTGCTGCTGGAGCCGGGGACCACTGTGATAGACACCTGCCGCAGAGTCAACGCAATCCCAGAGGGACCCAGAGGGTAGGCACCCCAATCCTGCTGTCCTTAAATCCTTGTCCAGGGTGCAAACTACCAGTAGTTAATATAAATAATTTATGAAGAAACTACACGAAAAATATTAAGCTGTAAATGAGTGAATTAAAGTTAAAGGGTCAGTCCACTTAAATCACAGAAACATTTCCCGCTTTTGTTCTGTGTAGCCATGCACATAATTTTCATTGTGACTATTTATCCAAAAAAAAAAGTAAAAGTAAAAGTAAAGAAGTAGTTCCAAAGAAAAGTGTTGACAGCATATTCTGTGGTTTCAGTGTCAGTTGGTCATTATTTCTGGAGACAGATGTTGCTGTTGAACTTTTTAATTTGATTGTTTGTCACTTTCTGAACCACAAATGGAATTCAGTGCAACTGCACTGTATTTGGCTGGCAGCGCCTGGGCAAGTACAAACAAGATTTATATGATATGATATAAAGATCGACCCGTTTAATCATCATATCTTAAAAAAAAAAAAAAAAAAAGTCAAAATGTTCATCACCTTTCAAGAGCCCATGATGACGTTTCCAAATTGCATTTTTGTTCAAACAACAGTCCAAATATTGAGTTTAGATCGATACAAATCAAAAGAAACTGATAGATTCAAAATATATATAATAGAATTAACAGCAATAATGACAATAATAAGATAAGAGCAAAAAAATGTGAGAATGTAATGTGTGTGCAATTACATTAATGTATGACATTAATACATGGACAGTAGTACATGGGAAAGATGGTTAGAAACAGCACTTAAATGGTCTTTTGAACATCTTTTTTTTAAGATTTTATACAGTTCTTTGCCAAATGGAGAAAGCCATTCCATGATTTGATACCCCTAAATCTTATTGAAAATTGACCTCTGCAAGTGAGAAATTTGGGAAGATGAAAATCATAAGATTGACGAGTTTGAATAAGAATGGACCTGTGAGTTTACCTTAAAGTATGTTTTGAAATGCTCTGGAATATTCCCTTTGATTGAATATATCTTATAAATAAAAACACATATTTGAAAAATGTTGATATCACAAATGGTAAGAATCTGTAGTTTCTGAAATAAAGGAGCGAATGAGATGTGTGATTCTGATTGGGTTGCAAGCTTAACAAAACATTTATGGAGGACCAATAATTTGTTTAGAGTAGTAGCAAAAGTACTTGCCCAAACTATATAACAATATGAAAGATGGGGATAAATTACATTATAATAAAGAGTAAGGAGATGCATCAATGTTTCCTCATTAAGTAACATTTTTCTGAGTATGTTATACATGGGGTATTGCAATGCATGATTAGTCAATAACCATAAATTGATTGACAATATAATTTTGGCGGTAAGATTAATCCTTTATGCCATTTATTTTCTAGTGAGCACTTTACACTGTGATCTGTCACATGTGTGATGCACTGCAGTTTTTATACTTGTCAGAATTGACATCATTTACGTCCATGCTTAGTTAGGCTCTACGCTTCAATCCAGTGTGTGTGTGTGTGTGTGTGTGTGTGTAAAGATGGATGGCCGAGGAAAGCAACCCTGCTCTAACTGTCAGTGTGAACCTTTGTGTGCAGGTATCGGATGGTTGTGGACGGAGCAGTGTGGATCAACCACAGTCGGACAGACAAACCAGATCAAGTACTGATCCCCAAACTCCACATCCTGTCTAATGGACTTACCTTGCTCAGAGTGGGCAAGAAGAACTTCTACATCATCAAGTGGCTCAGTCTCTGAGGTCGTTTGCTTTCACAAGGGACCGGGTTACTGTAATGGACTGACGGGGAAGGTAGGCGACTACACCTCAGCAGGGTCAGTGAGGAGACACGGATGGACTGATATTTTGGTACATAGTAGGTTTAGGTGTGGCCTAAACCCTTAATGATTGCCTGTGGTTGTCATATAAATATGTATATGTACAGATGTGACATTTATCAAAAGCTAAGATATTAAAAACATTTGATATAACGGTTGTTTCTTGTTGACTTTGTACAACAGACATCTTGCAAAGCAGACACTAGGGGGCAGCATTGCCCCAGTCATAATGGTGGAGTTGCATGCCGCCACAGCTGCACCACTTAGCCTGCTGTGACCCCATAGGTAAATAATTGCTAACAGTAAAATTAAATTGCATAATTTCTCACAAACAGGTTATGGATCTATTTTAAGCGAATCGTGTTTCTTTCAATTTGATGTGAACACAAGGCCAACATCTGTTTTACTGTGGCTGTTTTTTTTTTTCTGCACTGTGGTGGTGAGTGTAAACTGTACCAAAAGAAAAGCAAGAGGTTTTAGATCAGTTCAAAAACAAACAATTTTTGGCTGAAGATTATTTTTAGATTCCATAAATTTTATATTCACATTATGAGAATCATTTTTGAAGAATGGCTTTAGATTTTCCCATAAATAACAAAGTTTTCACTGTGGTGTAACTAACAATTTCTAACTTTTAGCATGCATGGCCTTTGTCTGTCATTCTTTGGTTTTTCATTTTAGATTTTTGTTCTTTTGCATTCTGAGACTCCTGAATGTGGAGATGTGCGTGGCTTTTTAGTTCTTTTATCTGTTCTTCTTTTTATGCTGGGGGCCGGTGGAGATGAGGACAGGGTCTGGTGTGTGCTGACCTTGACTTACCCCACTCAGCTCCAGATTATTGGTGGAAACACCATGTCATGAAGATACACTTTTACTCTTTTTTTAGATTTTTTTTTTTTCCCCTCTATTGTTAATCATTTGATAGTTTGACACTTTGCGGGGTGTAGAGCTACTCTAGCAGAGGACCCACACCTTGAAGCTTCAGCCTATGTATTTTCAGAAATGTCATCTCTTTTAAGGTGGAATGCTTACAAGCAATTCAATTTTAACAGATAGTTTAAAAATAACTCCACAACTTATTTTTCCAAATCTCACGGACTTGATTCATTTCATTTGATTTTGTATTTCTTATACAAATATCTATTTTATGAATTGTAAATGTCTAAACCATATGTGGTTTGGGGTCAAAAAAACAAAAGAGAAAAAAAACCTGCTGTAAATGGAGGGGAGGTAGTGGGGTCATGTAAATTTAAAACATTGTCATTTGTCAAATTAAACCCTGAAGTTGAGTGTTATTTTTGTTATTAGGGGGCTGTTTATTTAAATTGCATTATACATACCCCCCCAATCAATGTTTAAATTTATCAGCAACTTTCATAGCTACCCAGAATTATCTTCTTTTTTTTATCATTTTGTGACTGAAATGGCAACAAATGATGAGTTAACCAATGCGAACATATTTCCTTATTGTAAGAAAAATAATAAAATGTATTTATTTTTGAAAAATGCTTACTCAGACAATAATTAAACAAAATCGAATTGAAACGTTATGGAGACCTGCTAAAAGTAGCAATTTTCATTTGTAATGTTGTTGTTGCCAAAGCAGTCTTGATTTGAAGAAAAACCTGGATTTTGTGTTATATGAAGTCGTGCTTGGATGTTGCAGCCTGTTGCAACTGGCTGGTCCACCTTAAAAAAGTGGGCGGGCTTAGACGCTTTGACCAATGAGCGGCCTTCTCCACATTTAAATAGCTCTGTGTGTCAATCATCCCCCCCACCCCCCCTAAAGTCAAGCTCCCCTCTCAATCCCAAGTACATCTCTCAATCGCCATATTGGGTACTGAGAAGGTTTGTCTGCAGTTTCTCTCACTACGGGACGAAATTGACAGAGAGGCTTCAGTTCCTGTGCACTTTGTTTTGATGATCCGCGGAGACCACTGCCGGCTTCACGACACCGCGGCCGTTACCGTCTCCAGCTCGACGTATGCATGGCATAAGTCATTTCACGCTTGTTTTGGATCTTGCTCAGCGACGAGGAGATAACCTGTTGTTTTTGAGCGGTGTGTTTTTCTTGTGAAAACTGGACGCTCCCGGCTGTTTGAGAAATTGTGTCTTTTCTTCGGGGGGGAAAATGTCAGATGTTCGACTTTCAAACGGGAGCCCGACGCTGGAGCGGACGGACCCCCGTGTGTCGGATCACCCGAAACCGTCAGCCTGCAGGAGCCTCTTCGGCTTCGTGGATCACGAAGAGTTAAAGAAGGATTTAAAGGGACATTTGCGGGAGATGGAAGAGACTGCCTCCGCCAAGTGGGGCTTCGACTTCGCCAATCACACGCCGCTGGCCAACGACAGGCTCCAGTGGGAATTAGTGGATCGCAGAGACGTCCCGGATTTCTACCACCGGCCGCACCGGAGGGAGAAGGGCGTCTGCTCCGCTGGGAATAACAATGTGGATCTAAATGGGAATCATAACTGTGTTGTGGTAGCTCCGAGCGATGACACCGACAGGTCTGAGGCGCAGATGGAGTGCACGGAGCAGTGCACCGGGCTGAGGAAAAGACCTGCACGTCACGGTACTAGATGAAGCAGAATTATCTCCGTTTTCACCCGAATGCATTTGTGTGTAACAGGTAGCCAGGCTGGGGCGTACACATCCATCACACTGGTGCTATTTCACTCACCAGGCTACAGTGCACCGAAAATACATTTTAATACGCTGTAAAAAATAAAAAAAATAAAAAAAACATAATTAAGAATTTACCTCTTAGGGCAGACATGCAACATGACAGTTAAAAGGGATATAATTTTTTTTCCATCTGTTTCTCTCGGTAGTTTTTTTTACTGACGGTAAACTTTACTTTTGCAGACCCCTCGGCCCAAAATAAGAGGTCACACACCAGCTCAGATGAGGTTAGTTGTCCAAGTCTGAGCCACTCTGCAGAACACACACCCAGAAAGACCAGCCCCAAGAGACAAACGTGAGGACCACAAACGGTAAGGAACTTTTTTTAACTGACATAACTTAAAAAATAATTAAAAAAAAAAATGATGGGCTTCTGCATGATGTAACTACAGCTGATTGTTTACCAGCGTCAGCTTTGAAAATACAGACTACATCTCATTCTTCCAGCTGTTGTGTTGCAGTAAATTTGACTTATTGATTTTTATACTATGAGGTGGTATCCTTACTCCAACCCAAGTGCACTTTAGATAAAATCATAATTTCAATTTAAACAAGTGTGCATCTTTAACAACCAAGATACTTAGTAATGTGTGTGTGTGCACTTGAAAGGTGTTGGTTCCATTCATTGAGCACTAGTACAAATAGTAGTAGCGGGAGTAAAAGCGGTTGCCGCAGCTGGTTCACTTCACCAAAGCTCTCAGTTGCACTCAGGCTGGTGTCGATGTACTGTGATCGATGAAACAGGAGTTTAGAGTAAAGACGGGGGGGTGTGTGTGGGGGGGGGGGGGGACGTGGCTGCACATTTACACCTTTTACTACAACCGCTGCCCGCCACGGCGAAGCCCGAGTTTCCGACTAAACTGTAAACAACAAGTGCTGAACAACAGTGTAGTAGTAACACGTCAGCAGCCACTGCCCTCAGCACGGAGCAGAGCAGGGACGGGAAGGGGCTGGTCTCTCTCTCTCTCTCTCTCTCTCTCTCTCTCTCTCTCTCTCTCTCTCTCTCTCTCTCTCTTTCTCTCTGTGCGCGCGCGCGTGTGTGTGTGTGAGAGAGAGAGAGTGAGAGAGTGCTGCTGCTGCACACACTCTGCACACTAATGTTACAACACACACACACATACACATACACACACATCTGTCTCTGCCGGTGTCGAGTGTGCAGAAGAGCCGTGCAGGTCTGAAATCAAGTGTGCTTGTTGTTTGCCACGGCGGAGGGGGTGCAGGCATGAAATCTGCATTGTCGTGGCAGCATGGGAACTGTCAAGGCTGCTGGGGAGGATAAACACCACATCATGCCCTGTTAATATATATATTTGATTTGTGGAAAACAGCTGAGTCTTTTTAGGGATGGTAAATATGTCTAGTACACTCAAAAAATGATGTTTTTGATGAAGAAGAAACAGGAGGAGCTTATGGTTCTCTGAAAAATATAACTTTTTTACATGCCATGTAGCTGTTGTTGTTTACCACATGGGAACCACCTTAAAAATTAAATGAATTATTACTAGTATAAAATAGGAGACAGTACAAGTGCTGACATAAAATCTCATCTTCTGCTATTATCTGTATGATTTGGTCATTTGAATGAACAAACAAACACTTCCTGCATAAAGTGCTGTTATATACAATAACTATCACTGGAGAAAAACAACTCGCTAGACAATTTGCGATGTGTTTGTGTGTCTCTGTATTGTTGGATACAGTCTCGATGCTCTCAAGTTGATCCTCTTTGCTCTTTTGTCAAAACTACTAAAGGACATAGAGCAATATTTTTGTGAAGTGAAACTGTGCACAGATGTTCTGCCCCTCTTAATCCTTTTGCAAAAAGTTTTCTGCATGCTTCAGGATGCTCAGTGTCGAAAATTTGTCTTAACCTCCTGTGTTTATTTTTTTCTTTTTATCTTATTTGTCCCACAGAGCCGAAGATGTACGTCCCTCCTTTTTATGTGGGGAAAGCTCAGTGTTGGCCGAATTTTTTTTTTTTTTTTTTTTTTTTCATTTTTTTTTCTTTTTTTGGAAGAGGAACTACACAGCATCAGAAACATATCAGCTCTCCTGAAGACGGGGGAGGACGCTGTTGAAGCACTGAATAGAAACACTAAAGTTGTGGCACTCAATTAAAAGTTACTGCCTCTAAAAGCAGTCAATGTAGCAGTGTGCAATTAGGTTTGATTTCCTTTTTTGCTCCTTTTTTTTACTACCTGTGTGTAAATAAATATATATATTATATTATATTTCTCTCCATATGTAGCACATAAGATAACATTATGATTTGAACACAAATCCTTTATGTAAAAAGGTGTGAATTTTGATTTGACTTGAAGAATTGCAGTGTAGTTTGATACATGTTTCCAAAATGCTGTTTTTGTTTTTTTATTTTTGTTTTTTCATTTTTTTTCTGAAAGGCAGTGTGACTTTGACACAGTCCCTAATTGCTACATGTAAAACAAAAAAAAATCATAGCTTCTTGCAGTTTCTTAACAGTGTATCTTCACTCCGTCATCTTCCTAACTCAGCAGTGAAGAACGGTACAAATGTAGCTCATCTGTTTTTTTGTTTTTTTTTGTTTTGTTTTTTTTTCCTTCCTCTGGTCATTTCAGTGTCACCAAGTGCAGGTTCCTCTAGAAGATCCATTTCCCCAGGAAATCGACACAGGGAAAAAAAAAAATATTTCTATTAGAGCGATTTGCAGAAAGTCCTATTTATTTTTGTGGTAGGTGCTTTTTAGCATCGGTTGAAATCTGGAATGTGATATGGGTTTTTTTTTTTTTTTTCTCAAGTACTCCTGCACACCTCAGCCACATTGTAATGGTGTGTTTGATTTCCCTTGGAGTTGTGAGGTACTCAAGATATTGAAGGACAAAGACCGTACAAGCTGCACAAGTTGTGTTGTAAAGTCATCATTTCCTTTGACTGTATTCCTATTGTTTCATCAGCCTTACTGCTCTTCAGAGAGGAGATTTTTTTTAAATTTTTTTTATAAGGGTTGAATGTCCTACAATACCAAATACATGGTTGCTTCAGTATGGTTGCCAACACTGCCTGTGCTTCTCAGCTGACTTCACATTGTATTACTTTGTGATAACCTAGACTTAAATTTCCATTGATGTTTGTACTTTTTTTTTTTTCTTTTTTTTTTTTTTTCACCAATGTTGTTAGCCTGCTGACGATGCAAATGTGAGCATCTAAAAGCTTCCCTTTATTTGCCTAAAGTGTGGGTTATATTCAAAGAGACCAGTGTACACCTGGGTGGAGGGAGAGAACAGCTCTTCTCAGAAATGCAGTCACCATGCCTGTGTATTTGTGTAAATCTTTGCAATGAACCTATGTACATAATTTTGTAAAAACACTGAGAAATTATACTAACTTATTTATGTCAAGCTTTTTTATGTAGAATAAAAAAATGGGTTTTTGATTACGGTTATCCAAAGTGGCATTTACTTTATTATAATTGTCTTATTTTGTAAAAGCATATTTTTGGTAGTTTTTTTTTTTTTTTCTCCTTATCAATAAGGTTGCAAACTGAGCCTGATAAAATATTTGATGTGCATTTTGTAATGTGTGGTTATAAAATGTGTTGCAATCAATTAAAAGAGAAAATTAAATATGTCTGACTGGTGGTTGCTTTTTACACTTGGTGTGAATTTTGCATCTCTCATATACACACACACACACACACACACACACACACACACTCACACACACACTCACATTTTTCTGATTTTATCTATTAGAACAACCAAGCTAACCCGAAGAAAATAACAGCAGAAAAAGCAGCAACATTTTCTGTCACTATTAACGTGTTTAAACACAGTGTTGGAATTGCAGAGATGGTTTTTCTGCATCCTGGTACAATGTAGTGACACTCCCAATATGAATCCACCAGCGTTTTGAGCGGGCTGATGATTGACACTTTGGTCCTCCAATGAAAAGGAGGATGGGGAAAGCAGACCACTTGTTGCAGCCAGTAACATTCAGTAACTTATCATGGGAATGGCTTTCATGGAAAAAATGTAAGTGCTTTGAGCTCAGAATACGATCCTCAACTGAAAGGTAAAATACTGCAACTCCAGTTATTTTTTTTACTATTTTACTGGCCTCACTTGTGTCTGTATTTCTAGGAGTGTGTATGTGTGTGAGTGTGTTTGCATGTGTGTGTCTTATGTGGTGTGTTTTAAGTTCTGTTTTATTCTTAAATTTGTTAATGTCACTTACAGGGTTTTTACATTTATTTTTAGTAATTTAATGGGGAAAAAAAGGAAACAAGCATTTTTTTGTAATTGATCTATGCTCAATGGTGAAATAGCATTCAAAATAGGAAGTGTATTTTTGTATCTCTTATTTAAATCTATAACTGTGAATTCAGGATTTTTAAAAATATATTTATAATATTATAATTGATATACATTTATATAATTATTGGTTTTATTTTTCTATTTATTGATAAGATCCTGTTAGTTAAAATCATAATACTGATAAAAAAAAGGTACCAAACTAGCACAATCGAGTATCTCACTTTACTGCTTTAAAACAAAACTATTCTTGTTCTAATGAACTTGTCATATTGTTTTAATTTTTATTTTTAGATAAAAAGCTCTTGTGATGTGAATGATGTGCACCAGCAGCAGAGCTCTAATCTGTGTCTAGCTGCTCTTTGACCTGAGGTAACTTTACTGCATGAGTCTCAGTCTCTGTCATGGCACATCCTCTGCTAAAAAACTCAAATTAATGCTTTCACTTACACAGCATCTCCCCTGCTTCCTCCTCGTGCCACTGACACAGGAAGACACCTGCAGCAGCTCTTTAAAGCTGGATGGGTGGGGGCTGTGTGTGTGTGTGTGTGTGTGTGTGTGT